CTGTGTATGTGTGTGCTCAAAATCCCTAGACGAGAATGGAGGAAAAGGGATTTTGGTGTGGCTGATCCCTTGCGGGGTAATTTTTCACTTTCCCGCTGTCTGTCTCTCTCTGGTACATGCATGCACCCTATGGCAAAGACCTTAAAAAAAAATGATAAAAATATTCAGAGCACTGATGGTTTCCCAAGACCTGGCGAATCAATTCATCTACTTTGTTAGGTTTTGGTAATCTCCCTTTTAACTGCAGAGATGGAGTGTAGCATGGGGCCTGTCTCCTGGAAATCCTCCCTTGGTGGAATTGCAGGTAGGTCTAGGCCTACCTGCAGGGGACGGGCCCTGGGAAGACAAGCTGTATAGGAGGGGACCCTAGCCAAGCACAAGAAGTGTAAGGGTACTGAAGGATCAGCAGATTTCATAATGTTTACATCACTGGACTCCCATGTGGCAGACTACGGTTCAAGTCCCGGACCTGGAAGCTTGAAACACACACTGGGTATGTGTGCATTCATGCATGCCCAAAATCCAGAGAGGAGACTAAAAGAGAAGGAATTGAGGTGTGGCCATTTCTCCCAGAGGGGCCTTTCTTGCTTTCCGTCCCTCTGTCTCTCTCTGTCTCCCCAGCAAGAGCACGTGCCCTATACCAAGAGACACGAGCCTGGGACAGAACAAATAAAGAGACGTCCTCAGCTACTCTTTACACCTCACCAGGATCACCATTTACAAGTCTTAACAGATGTGGGAAAGGAGCTAAGCAGGTGAGTCCAAGATCATTTACTTCCGGTCCACTTCCTTGCCCCTGCCCTAGTTGAGGCACAGACAATGAAGCAGAAAATCAACAAAGGAAAAAGAAATGATACACATATGCCACACGCGAATAATCAGGCATCATAGAAAATCCCCCAGAAAACTACTATAGAACACTCCAGGGCCGGCCTGTGGCCTGCTGGTTCAGGTGACTGGACTCTACATGGCCAATTGCAAGATTTGAGTCCTAGAGGCAGCTTGAAAAGCATACGAGGCATGTGCGTGTGTGCCCAAAATTCCAAAGGGAGGGAGATGGAAGAGAAGCGAGTGCTGCATGAACACGCCTCTTGGGGGAGGTGCTTTCTCAGTTCCCTCTGCCTCTGTCCTAACAAATGCATGTGCCCTCTGGCAATTTTTAAAAAATAATAAAATAAAATAAAAATTTTAAAAACACTCCAACACCACTTACTATACAGTCTTAAATAGTATCTTTGACATTGGGGATCTTGCTATTTTGGATGGGAGAAAATATTAGGTCATTGGAAAAGCCAGCAGGTGGCATGGTGATTAAGGGTGCTGGACTCCCACACGGCCAATCACAGTTCGCATCCTGGACCTGGTGGCTGGCTTGCTTGCTCTCTCTCTCTCACTCTCTGTCTCTCTCCAGTCAAATTAAAATAAAACAAATAAAGAAAGTTAATAAAATAATTCTAAAAAAAAAAGTCATGATGCATTTTGCCCAGAAAAACATAGAAATTTTATCATGACTTTTCTGACCACCTAATATCTCCCTCAATTAAAAAGTTTATTTAGAGCTTTGTTCCTATACTCCCTAATAAAAATAAAAGACATCAAAGCCACCTGCTCCATCTCCTCCTCCTACACACACACACACACACACACACACACACACACAGAGTCAGCGCTGAACTATGTGAACCTGTGAGGGTCCTCCCCTGCTGTCCCCGATGGTGGGGCTGCTCACTCTGACGAGGAACACGCTTCTGGTTCCACAGCCTCTAGGGACCAGCATCTGAGGAACGTGCCTGGTATTTCTGTAACATGAACCACCCATAGGACATCTGGTTCAAAGGCACCTACAGTTGGGAGTGAAGGAAACAATTTGGGGCACTTTTCCCCACCCCTTTTCAGAAATACTTGCTGTGGGAAAGAAGGAGGTGGTGAAAGGGACAGAGAGCAACACACAAAGAAGCAAAACGTAGAAGTCCTTCTCTACAAAATTGTCACAGTTAAAAAAAATTCACTAAAGCTCATTTATATATAAAACTAAGAAAAACTTTAAAAATGTCCTGTCATATTGTTTAATTTACTCTATATTGTGAAATACAAGAATTATTCCAAATACGATCATTACCCAAAGACAGAAGACAATAATATTTCCTACCGAGAAACATGATATTGTATATCTAAAAGCAGCATAAACAACTGTTACCCTGAAATAACCCCAATAGTTCAAACATAATTCCTCAGAGTAAGCGGCACAATGGTAACTACATTATGTTATAAAGCTGTACTCCTCAAATTCGGGGGAAAGGTCAGTTGAACAACAAAGCACAATTCATATTCATTTCTCTTATTTTCAAAGGCAACGACTAAGAAATTGCTTCCATTTGAAGTCATGTATTTGAAACCTCATAGAGTACAGATAGCTACTTTATATCCTAAAATTTATTGTATGAAAAACATATTCATTTACAGAAATTAATGTATATTTTTGAAAAAGGATCAGATGTGACTGAAAACATAAAAGCATTTACTGTAACATCCTCCATCTCCAAAAGCCTCCTAAGAAAGCTCTCCAGAGGGGCCAGCAGGTGGCATGGTGGTTAAAGCACTGGATACTCCCACATGGCCGACCCCACGGTTCGCATCCTGGACCTAGTGGCTTACTTTCTCACTTTCCCTCTCTCTCTCTCTCTCTCCATCTGTGTGTGTCTCTCTCTCTGGTAAAATGAAAATAAATGAATGAATAAATAAAATTAAATAAATAATTCTTTTGAAATATAATAATAATTAGAAAACTCTCCAGAACAATGAAAACTATTTCCTTAAAGTAACAAGAGTAAGCTATCCATGTACCTGGCTTCATGGGAGCCATAAAGCGAACTCTGAAGAATTAGAATAATAAACTGATGCTTTCTCCCCAAATGTAGCCAGAAATGAGCATGAAACCTGCAACCATGGGTACGTTAGTTTAGCAACACACAAGAAAGAATCCTGTTCTTTCACAGGGCAAGCCACTGAACCAGAGAGAAATGATTCCTTTAGGAAATCTTGTATATTCATTTTTTAAAGAATTATTTTTAAACTTCATTTAATTTATTTATTTCATTTTATTGTATTTGACCAGAGAGGGACAGAGTAAAAGAGAAAGCGAGAGAGAGAGAGAGAAAGTGAGAAAGCAAGATGCCAGATCTGGGACTTGAACTGTGGTCAGCCATGTGGGAGTCTAGTGCCCTTAACCACCATGCCACCTGCTGGCCCCGTATATTCATTTTTAAATGAGCCTGACCCACAGCAACATTCTGTAGATGGACTGAGTGAATAAATGAATAAACAGACAAAAATGTCTGGGGATCAGCAGATATATATGTCGCTAGACTCCCATGTAGTTGACAGCGGTTCGAGTCCTAGGCCTGGAGACTTAAAACTCACACTGGGTGCGTGTGCATGTGTGCCCAAGATCCCAAAAGGAAAATGGAGAAGGGAGTATAGCATGGCCATCCCAGCAGGAGGGATTTCTCACTTTCTGTCTCTCCTTCTCTCTGTCTTCCTGGCAAGAACATGCAGCCTATAGCAAAAATCTCTCTTAAAAAAAAGGGCCTGATCAACACCTAGCAGTTCTACTGTGCATCAGTCAGAGTCCAATACCAACTGTTTTCCTTTTCTTTCTTTCTTTCTTTCTTTTTTTTTCTTTTTTTTTCTTTTTTTTGAGAGAGATTTTTGCTATAGGGCATGTGCACTTGCTGAGAGACACGGAAAGCGAGAAATCACCCCCCAGAGAAGATGGCCACACCACAATCCCTTCTCCTCCACTCTCCTCTCAGGATTTTGGGCACCAGGTCTGAGACTTGAACCGCCTTTGACTATGAAGGAGTCCAGCACCTTAACCACTACGCCACCTGCTGGCCCCTTCCTTATACACGTTTCCTTCCGTTTTCATACTCTTTTACATGCTCTGTGGTGGACCAAAGATGGTTACAGATTCTTTGTCATTTCTACCATGCCATGTCCCCTCTGCAATATGCTTTAACCTGGAATGTGCTCTGTGACTACTCAACACAGAGAATATGGAAAAGTGACTCAATGATAGAGCCAGGCCCCAAGACAATGGCAGCTTCTGCTCCTGTCTCTGAGTCCATTCTCTCTCGGTGATCCAAGCAACGACAAACTAAATCCCACTACTGAGACTGTCATACCACAGATGCTTTAGGCTGCAGTCCCAGCTGAGCCCAGTCTCCCACGATCCTCAGCATGAGCCCCACATCTAGGGCAAGCCATCTTGGATCCTCCAGACCAGCCCACCACCAAATTGAGTACCATTAAGTGACCTCAGTCAATGCCATACAGAGCAGAAGAATAACCCAGCTGAGCCCTTCCTACATTCCGGATTCACAAAATTGTATGATATAAGAAAACCGCAATTATTTTAAGCCACTACATTTTAGGATAATTTGGTACACAGCAATAAATAATGGGACATGCTCTTCTTGTCTTCTTTCTTTCCTTCTAAAGACTAGCAGTGAAGGTACCAGCAGTTGGAGTAATGGCTATGTTGCTGGACTCCCGTGGTTGACCACGGTTTGAGTCCTGGACCCGGTGGCTTAAATGCACACTGGGCACCTGTGTGTGTGTGCCCAAGATCCTGAGAGGAGAATAGAGGAGAAAGGATTGTGGCATGGCCATCCCCTCTTGGGGGGGATGATTTCTCACTTTCTGTCTCTGTCTCTCTCTGTCTTTCCAGTGAGCACACGCGCCCTTTAGCAAAAACCTTTCAAAAGACAGCCATGCTGATATAGCTCGTCCTCGTACTCCAAAGTTTGGCCCTGAACACAGTGCTGGAAAGAAGAGATTGGATGCTAATTAAAAAGTTTGGATTACAATGAGATTTGGGCTGCTGGTGCTTCTAGAGAAAGGAGATTGACCCTAAAAGCGAGCAGCTATGACGCCATTAGACTTAGCACCCATGGCACCAAAGGCACGGAGCCTCCACCAGGCGTCATGCGAGGCCATACCTGCCTCATGAGCTCCTCTTGGCGCATTCGAATCCTCTCTCTCTCCATCTGGATCCTCTGAAGCCGCAGTTTCTGCTGCTGCTGCTGCTGAGTGGTCAACGCATTGGGCATACTCATGAGCCCTGCTGGTGGGTTCTGGGTCGGGTGGTTCTGTTGGCTCAGGGTACTAGGTGCCATTTGCTGCTGGTGTTGGTGGTTCAGCACTGCAGAGAGAAGAACATTCAGGAGATTTAATGACAGGCCTGTGATACCTTATAGAAAACTGACCATCAGAACGCTTGGTGCGTAGGGGAATAGATTCCTGAGATTCTTTCCAAAGTACTTTTCTGTTAATCATTACTGTTTAAATAACTATTACCTTAATTCGATTCACGGAGCCTGAGATACTGGCCCCACTCCTGACTCATCTAGTTTCGGCTTTTGTGCTCTGTTAAAAATCTGGAGTACATTTTAAGCTGTTTATAGAACATAGTGGCAAAAAGTAAATTCCATTTCTCAGAACTGAGAAGATAATTTCACCAGGACATCTGGGGGTGGTGGGGTGTGTGCACTTTCTCAGATAATCCGTGTGCTTACTGCAGGGCTAAGGAGGGCGTGTGATCACTGACACAGTGGCTATACAATCATATCCAGGACGGGAGAGTGAATTCCTAAGACATGCAAAACATAGCACTCCGATCAGAAATCTAGACATAAGCAGATCTGATTAAGTTTTAAGAGAAAAAGGTACCCTAAGGAAGCCTGAGTGAAACTCAGAAACCAGTCATCGAAGGAAAAAAAAATAATTAAAGAATTATTTTATTTCACTTTGCTTATTTATTTTAAAGTTTGACTGGAGAGGGGCAGAATGAAAGAAAGAGAAAGAGAGAAAGTGAGAAGGCAGTCCCAGGTCTGGAACTCGAACCGCGGTCAGCCATGTGAGAGTCTAGTGCCCTTAACCACCACGCCACCTGCCAGCCCCCAATGTGAGTTTTTATACAAGAAAAAGTTACTAAGAAAGAAATTACACAAAAATGCTAAACGTATTTTTGATTATATAAAGGCACTAGAAGTGTGTTAATTTTCTTTAAAAAAAAAAAAAAAAAGTGCCAAAGGATTGTGCACTTGCTGGAGTGAAACAAAGAGAGAGAGAGAGAAGGTAAGAAAGCAGCTTCCCCCAGTTGGGGGCGGTCATGCTGCCATCTCTCCTCCTCCACCTTCCACTCCCATCAGGATTTGGGGCACACATGCACAGGTGCCCAGTATGTCTTTCAAGCTGCCAGGTCCGGGACTCGGCCCATTCGGTTACCATGCGGGATCCAGCTGCCTTAACTGCCACACCACAGGCTGGCCTGAAGCATTTAAAATGTTTAAGAACGAACTCTCTGCATTTGCCAACATTTGAAATGTCATCATGTAGAACTTCACTTTATAAAAAAAAGTAAACCCTTTAATAAATTCTAGAACTGGTAACCCAAAATATGTATTCAAAATAGTGCTAGTTTTTCTCAAAACAGTTTAGCAATATACTATGCTTAACGTCTGCCTGAGCAACATCGTGTCAAAAAGAAAGCCATGCTCTCGGGCCAGGGCCGAAGACATGAGGTATAATTTTAGGGACTCATTTCATTTCCAAGGGGCAAAAATCCCCTCGATTTTGCTATATGTGGTGTCACTACCTATAAAAGATAAAAACCTGATGCATTGTTTAAAGATGGGGTTATGTTCTGAAAAATGGGTTAGGAGATTTCATCATTGTGCACACATCGTAGGGTGTACTCACACAGACCCAGACGGTGCGGCCTCCTGTAGACCTTCGCCACAAGGTGCCGCCTATTGTGCTTTCTCTCCCCCCACTCTGTCCCTCTCTGGTCAAATTAAAATACATAAAAACATAAAGTTAAATAAAATAATTATTTAAAAGGGGGGACAGCTGGTATGAGTCTGTTTCTCTCTGGCAGGTGGTGTGGTGGTTAAGGTCACTGGACTCCCACATGACCAACCACACGGTTTGAGTCCTGGACCTGGCAGTTTCCTTTCTCACTTCCCCCCTCTCCTCTCTCTCTCTCTCTCTCCCTCCTTCTATATCTCTCTGGTTAAATTAATATAAATAAATAAATAAAGTTAAATAATGTAATTCTTCACAAAAAACAAGGTATAGCCTATTGTAATTTCATGGGAACATCATCACATATACTATCCATCTTTGACAGAAACATTGCTATGTGATGACCTGTGTATGTGTGTGTGTACATAATATGTGTGTGTGTATGTATATATGTGTGTGTGTATATATATATATATATATATATGTTATCTATTGGGTTGCAGGTAAAGTCATGATGTATTTTTTCATAGGAAAAAATGGGAAAATACGTCATAGCTTTTCCGGCGACTAATATATGTGTATCTATATTCGAAAGACAATACTAACGATGACGATATTCTATAGAAGGAAGGGTTCAAGGACGCCGTCAATAGATTTACAACTCTGCCCAGCAACACCCGACTAAAGGGGAAGGAAGGACTATTCAGAACATTTTGTCAGAACAGTTTAGGTTTCCCTCTCTGAATTTAGGCCTCCATAAAGTCTTCTCTTCCCGGCACCAGCCCAGGCACAGAGGAAGCTCAGTAAACGACCTGATGAATAAAGGAAACCAGTTGGGCGGGCCTATCTTCTTAGTTTGAGAACAGAAAAAAAGCAGTCATGGCTGATGCCGAAATTACTGAAACGAGCATTTCACTTCCAGAGCTTGCTGGAGAGTCATGACAGCCTCCACTTGAAGGCCTGGCGTGGCAGAGCAGGACAGCACACAGGGCGTCACGAGAGAAAGTGCCCTCCAACACGGATCCAAGTAAGGCAAAATCCAGATACCCAGAAGGGTGCCATTCAGAAAACCTGCTTCAAACCTGCGGAGGGGCACAGACAGGAATGGTAATCGAGGCAAGAAACAGCTGTTCCTGAATCTTCTGAAAAAGTATGTTTCTGACTTTCTGATATAACTATACAGACAAAAATGGCCCAATATTTCCAGTATCAGAAATTCAGGTAAAAGAAAAAATGGTAAAATTCAGGTAAAATTAAAAAGGCTTGATAAGCACAGGTTGTTGGGGCCAGCAGATGGCACAGTGGTTAAGTCACTGAACTCCCACACAACTGACCACAGTTTGAGTCCCAGATCCAGTGACTTAAAACTCACGCCGGGCCCGTGTGTGCGGGTTCCTAGGATCCCAGGAGGATGGAGAGAAGGGACTGTGCATGGCCATCCCCTGCCTCCCCCTGGGGGGAGGTGATTTCTTACTTTCTCTCTTACTGTCTCTGTCTCTCTCTCTCTCCCTGACAAGTACAGGAGCCCTAAGACAAAAACCTCTATTAAAAAGAAAGAAAGAAAAGAAGAGCACAGGATTGTTAATCCTCTTATTTTTTCTAGCTCAGATAGTTTGAAAAAGTTGAAACCTAACTGGTGTCTGATTACTGACGTGATCAATGCGAACAGGACTATCCTCAGTGACTTTCACACACTCCTCAGTGTACCGAACTGGGCTTCCTCCTGACAATGCGCTCTTACTCAACTCCTCACGGCAACCAGACACTGCTTAACAGACCTCATTAGTGCCTGGATCCTTATCTGGGGGAGTGGGACACTTGGAGGAGTGCTCTTAAAAACCATACCCTTGGGGACCAGCAAGTGGCATGGTGATTAAGGTGCTGGATTGGATACTCCCACATGGCCAACTATGGCTGGAGTCCTGTACTTGGTGGCTTGTTTTCTCATTTTCCCTCTCTCTCCCTCTGTGTGTGTGTGTGTGTGTGTGTGTGTGTGTATGAGTCTGTTTCTCTCTGGTCAAATTAAAATAAGTAAATGAATAAATAAAATTAAATAAAGTTAAAACAAACAAACAAACAGACAAACAAAAACCCACACCCTTGCTAGTCTTCAAGACATCAGCCCGTATAAGAGACACTCACGAGGGGTAATGGCGGAAGTGTTGGTTCCTTAGACTTAACGGAGATTTGACCATTCAGTCTAAAACTCTCCTGTGACTAACTGCAGAGTCTGGGAGAGAGTGCAGCGTAGTGTCTGTTTTCAAGGTAAAGCACACGCCAATAGACTGGTTTGTATGAGGATATTCACCACCTGGTGTTTATAATAGCAAAAGACTACAAATTATGGCCCATCCAGAGAAAATCTGTATAACGATTTCAAAGAATGAGGCAATTCTATAGGTGCTTGGATGGAACAATCTTCAAGGAACTTTGTCCAGAGAGGAAAACACCCAAGGGACAGAACAGTGTAAGTAAGTATGAGACTGTTTGTGGTTAGACAAGGAGAGGAATGTGGCCCATACACAGCAAACCTCTAGGAGGAGACAACCCGAAATGGTGACAGAGGCAAGAAATGAAGCGTCAGAGACAAGAGAAATTCTTCCTTTGTCCCCTTCTGCACAACTTTAAAGGTTTCCTGCAGGCCTTTATTACTTATGTAAAAAAGTGTAAAACAAAAGCATGGTCGCATAAGCATCAAACTCACGTTTCCTTGGTAGAATGAAGGAAACGGAATTATCTGAGAGACAATACCTAAGACTTAGAGTAGAGGGGCCAGCAGATGGCGTAACGGTTACGTCGCTGGACTCCCCATGTGGCTGGCTGCAGTTTGAGTCCCAGGCCCGGTGGTTTGAATATCGAACCCAGAGCTTGTGTGTGCATACCCAAGATCCTGGGAGGAGGAGAAGGGAGGAGACAGGACTGTGGCCTGGCCAACCCCCCGGGGGGTGATTTCTCACTGCCTCTGTGTGTGTCTCTCTATCTCCCCCTTCAGCCTGTAGGAGCACATGTACCCTAAGGAAAAAAAAAAACTACTTCTAAAAAAGAAAAAATGGACTTAGAGTATATCCAAGATGGTCAAAGCTGAGAGTCTAGTTGCTAGAACCCCTACTTAGGGAGATGAGGAAACCAGAACCCCAAAAAAGGATGAATTTGAAGGAGGCCATAAAATCGTCAGTGTCCTAGAAGCCATGATTCAGCTTGCCACTCTAGTCTCTCACTGTTCAATCCGAAACTGTGAATGAGCCCCTTCTGAGACTTGAACTCATGTACTTCACTGGCTGTTGAGGGTTTTTTGTTATTTAAGGTTTTTGACATAAGGGATATGTGCTTGCTGGAGAGACAGAGAGAAACTGTGAGAAGGAAAGTGAGATATTACCCCCCAGGGGGATGGCCATGCCGCAATTCCTGCTCCACCATTTTCCCCCTGGGATTTTGGACATGCATGCACACACACCAAGCAGGAGTTTCAAGTCACCAGGTCTGGGACTTGAACCAGGTAAAACCACTGTTTTTGTTAGCTTCTCAGACACAAGAAGGGCATAAGAGGCCCGAGGTAGAGAAACAAGTTCCTCAGGATAGCCTGGGAAGGCAAAACATCTAAATTTGAGATGAGCAAAATATTCCTTGGGATAATATTCCAAAACATTTTAGGATGAAAACAATAGTTCAGCTTAGTGACAAAAAAAAAAGAAAGAAAGAAAGAAAGAAAAGCAGAATATCCCAAAGGCAGCATCTGAAACCAAACCGGATTAAGGGCAGACGGCCATGAACTGCCTTAAAAAGGCTAGAGAGCTCGTCAGCTCCAGACCTCTGCCAGTCTGCACAGAAAGGAACAACCCAAACAGAAGACTTCTCCACTGAATCAGGAATGCACCAAAACCGAAGCACAGACATCTTTATTTTCTTTCCAAGAGAGGCAGAATTTAAATTTAGATCCCCATTAATCTTTTTCTTTTTCATTCTTTTCATGTCCTTTTTCTTTTTTTTTTTCCCCTTACTATTTTTTTTTTTTTTTTGGAGAATTTTTTTTTTCCTATAGGGCACGTGCACTCACCAGAAAGACAGAGACAGAAAGTGAGAAATCATCCCCCAGGGCAGATGGCCACGCCACAATCCCTTCTCCATTCTCCTCTCGGGACCTTGGGCATGCACGCACATGTGCCACCAGGTCCAGGACTTGAACTGCGGTTGGCTACATGGGAGTCAAGCAGCATAGTCATCACACCAACTGCTGGTCCCTCCCTTCTTTATTTTTATCTTTCTATCTATTTATTTATTTTTGTACTTTGCTTTCTCTTCTGTGTTTGGAAATTGATAAAACTATGCTCTGAAAATACAGGACCAGAAACAAATCATTGGTATTATTCAACATGCATTAAAATATCAATTTTAATTGTTATGAGGCAGGAGATCATGACATGGTGAGATCCTATCTTAAAAATAATTAACTAAATAAATACTCATTTGGCATTTAGAGTTGAGGTCAGGCTATCCAGATTAGCTGTTGGTGTGTCCCCCTGGATTATAAGTAGGTGTGTTTTGGAATCAGCAGTTGGCGTAATGGCTATGTCACTGGACTCCCATGTAGTTGACCAAGGTTCAAGTACCAAACCTGGTGGCTTGAAATTCACGCTGGGTGCATGTGCATGTGTGCCCAAGATCCTGAGAGGGGAATGGAAGAGAAGGGATTGTGGTGTGGCCATCCCCCCCTGGGGGGTGATTTCTAGCTTTCTGTCTCTCTGTCTGTCTTTCTGGCAAGTGCACGTGCCCTGGAGCAAAAACCTCTCTAAAAAACATTAAATTAATTTTAATTAGTTAATTAAAAAATAAAATATTATAAAAAAGAAAATTCAGAACAAACTGGAAAACCACACCTAGACATGATTCTCTTTTTCCTGAGACCACACTTGTGTCCAGGGTTTCATTCAACAGCTGGCCTGGAGCCTGAGTTGGTGCCTGAGGAGGAGTGAGTGAGTACTTAAATTCAGGCCCCTTTAACTTTCTTCTCTAAATTCTCTTGGTCTTGTTTTCACTCTGCATTCCCTGTAGGCACTTCTCGACTGTCATGTTGAAGTTTTAAACAAATGTGTCTAACATGTTGCATAGGCATAGCCTTTGGAGACTGGACACTCACTAAGCTTAGCGTCTGTTCAAATATCCACCCCACCCTCACCCCCACCCCATTGTGGCATGGGACCTTGGCCACGCTTTAAAACCACGATTTAGACAAATTTCACTTCATTTAGAGATGGAGAACCATGGCAGGTAAAGTGACTGGGCACAAATGACACACGCATTCTACGACAAACCTACGAAGCCCTCAGAGCACGCTAGAACACCGAAGCTGATGCCCGCTGCAAATCACCCACTGCTGCCCTGTCCTGCCCACCCTCAGTAACCAGAGTTAAATTTGATGACAAGGATCAGTGGTGGCTCCCCTTCCCTACTGAAAAGTCTAATGCAGATTAAGTTGCTTAAAATGTTGAAATCAGCATGAAGCATGTATTTTGATGACACCTTTTTTTTTTTTTTTTTTGCTATAGGATGTGTGCGCTCGCCATACAGACAGAGACAGAGAGACAGAATGCGAAAAATCACCCCCTAGGGGAGATGGCCACACCGCAGTATCTTGTCCTCCACCCTCCTCTCGGGATCTCGGGCATGCACACACACACGCCCGGCGTGAGTTTTAAGCAACTGGGTCCGGGACGTGAACCGCGGTCGACTACGTGGGAGTCCAGCAACATAGCCATTACGCCAACTGCTGGTCCCATTGATGGCACCTTTTGTGTGATTGGGTTTTACAAGAAATAGTCTAGCACTTTGTTCTTCAGTTTAAAAAAAAAAAAAAGACAAAAATCGCATACACTTTAAAAAGCTCCCTTTCACAATTCTGCATAGCTTTATATGAGAAAGAGAGGCGCTGCCTTCGGGCAATACTAGAGCTGGCCACAGGGGCTTTCGGAAAGTAGCGACAGGCCAGTGGAGGAGGCCAAAACACACAGGTGTAAATCGTTTCGGACTTACGTGCAGCCCCAGCCACACCAAGCTTTGACAGCGACTCCCACATCAGAGTGCCTGG